ACATTGGAAAATAAATAAAAGGTTTCTGTTAATTATTAAATAATTTTAGGGTTTGTTCAGCTGCTGTGTACAGCCACTGGTGTCAAGTTGACCGCACTGAAGTACCCATTTTCTGCAGAGCACTCCAATATCCTGCACAACAAGGGAATGAATACCATCAAAAGCAATTCTCTTTTGTTATGAATAATTAAGTATCTGCATCCAAAGATCCCCATGCACTTTACAGACTTGAACCATGTTGTCAAGCTGCCTACACGTCAGACAAGCCTTAGTTTTCCATTTGTAGATGGGGAAAGTGATGCACAAAGTACTGAAGATAACTCTATCATACCCAAGTCACTGACCTTTGGCTCGGCTTTGGCTTGCTTGGTCACTCAACCCTTGACCAAACACTGGGAAAAGGGTGGGACACGAGCAAGCATAGGACAAGTGATATCGAAAGAGAAGAGCAACCAGTCTCCACCGGCTACCTTTAGCCTGCACATGGAGTAATCTGGGCTGGAACCACATGAGGGGAACAACAGTACACTGACACCAGGTGCCGCAAAGGAGTTGTCCACGCCACCCTTAGGTTCCCCTAGAACATGTGGTACTTGAGAAAGACTGATCTTCAGAAACACCCCACTGGCCACACTGTTGTGTTGCTCCTTTGTTTTCACAGGACTATTAAGTAACAATGATACCCATCCCCAACAGGCCACTCCAAACCATCGGCTGGAACAAAGTGATCTCAGACTTGTGTTATTCAGATACGGGGTTTTGTCCTTTACTGCTGCTTTTCACAGCGCAACAAGGTATTTTCCTTAATATCCTCATAACATCATTTGTATACATTTAAGCAACTTGAGCTGAGGCTGGGCCATGCAATCAGTTTGGGAGGAATGAGCAGCTTTTTTGTAAAAAATAAGAAGCTGTAGAAAATAGAGCAGTGAGACGGCAGTTCAACATAGACAATACAGAGACATTTCCTGGAGGAAAGGAAAACATCTACACAATTAGCCATTGTTTGCTCCGAGTGACTAACCCTGTGCCCTCACCCAGCGCCAATGTGCCTGTACTGGTTCTGAGGCTGCTATAGATCCAGTGTCAAGTGAAACTGGTGACCAGTCACGAGTGGTGCAGGAGAGACACCAGGCAAGGACTGAAGAACTATCCACATGCCATGGATGGACATAAACAGAGCAGAATCACAAGTGACTTCAGGTACACCCTCTGTGGTTTAATCACCATTCTGACTACAAAGTAGAAGTTTTCTTATAAGACAGGCTTTGATATGCTGAAATCACATGAAAGATTAAAAAAAAGAAAAAAAGTCAGCCTATGGAGATACAAATGGAATGAGTACCCAAGGGCAGGTACTAATGAAAGAAATATCCAAGGGAATCCGGAGTTATAGGTAGCTGAACAGTAGCTCCAGGGAGTTCCTGAGCGACATCCACCTAGATGACATCTCCAAGAAACACAGGGCAAATAATGGCTATTTTTAGTCTTAATTCACAGAATTTTAGCCAGTTGTGTAGATATACCTAAGCTAGCTTCACTTCACAGTAGTGCACTGCAGAGCTCCTAGCAGTGCCCCTGGAGCACTGTGTGGTACAGCATGGGCTGCAAACCCTGCCCCCAGAGTCTGTGTAAATATTTTTATCTCCTGCTTCTATGACTACAGCATTGGCAACGCTTGGGGAATCCCTTTTAAAGTGAACCTCTGCCTACACGAGCTGCAGACACAGCAATACACCAAGAGTATATTGTTTTGCAACTCGGTGGACCACTTTGTGCTGGCAGTCCAGGGTAGGAAAACTAGCCAACCCCATTTCCAGTTCCTCACTCTAGCACACAGACCCAGGATGTGGGATTTGTCACATGCCCATGGGTTGACATTTTAATAAGAACCGTAAGCCAGATTGATTAGCTGTTTGTCACTGCTTCTGCATGTATCATCTTCCTGCCTGCTTGTTGTGCCAGTGACGCTACTGTTATTATTGAGCTGGAGGAGAGGGCTGGGAATTCAGTGCCTGATGGGGAGGAAATGGGGAAGTGGGAGGAGTGAGGCTTGTGGCTGCACATCCAGGGCTGCATCATCAGGGCAGGAAGAGTTCAGTAAGGAGATCTGTGATCCTCACGTGGGATTTGTTGGAGGAGAAGTCACCTAGCAATGCTCTCACAGGCCATGTCTTTGCATCAGACCAGGGAAGAACCCTGAAACTCCTCTCTGATTGTCAACAGAAATTCAAACTAGGTGCTAGCTCAGCTGCCTTGTGTGTAGTCCTGGAGGTGGAAACAGCGATTTACAGGACAACAGGAGTTTGAGATGAGTCTGTTAAAATTGCCAGAATGGGTTGGTGGCCTGGGTGAAACAGGCTAGAAAATTTCCTCTCTTTTGTCCTTGGGGAAGAGGCATCTACATCACTACAGACCTTCAATACACTTTACCAACTGCTATGCTGCAGGCAGTTAGGAAGCAAGGATGCCAAACACAGGTACTGTAGAAAGGCATAATGCCATGAAACCAGAATTTTCCCTGGGTCTAAACCCTGGGGTTCCTTCAGCCTAGGCTAGTCACTATGGCACTGCACAAAAATAATGCCTTCCTTCTGACTCACCCTTCTGAGATCCTCTGACACTACCTGCAACCATGGGGAAATGTTCACATGTCCTAGGACGGACAGAAACAAGTTGATGAAGCTTTCTGTACGAACTTTATGAACATGAACTAGTGAAGGCTAGGACACACCGGTCTATGCCATTCCCACTGTGGGCTGCTCTATCCTTAAGAGATTCGGGCATGCACCTGTTGGAGCTGACCATTGAGCTGTGCGGGAGGTCACACTACATCATACTGAGTAGCAAAAGTTCAGATACTAAAGCACCTGCCAGAGTTCTTGGGGGCACACTTCGGCCATCCAAAAGTAGATGTCATGATTCAGGTGAGAAAAATCCCACCCCACCACGCCTATTTATTGCCATTGACCACAAAGGCAGTTTGAAGTGACAGGGTCAGCTGTACATGCCTACATTGTAAGTGTAGGTGAGATTTCTATCCCATGCTCATTTACACTCCTGTGCCAGGCAAGATTATCTGGGAGCTGTCATGATCTGAGCATATCTGCAACTAAGTAAGTGTATTTCCTCCATATCTCTCCTACTTAAGTTCAAGATGAGAGATCACAGTGCACCAGGGCTTGGAGAGGGAGCATTACCAAAAGGCCTGTGAGTTCAAGAAGCAGTGTGTTATTGAGTACAAAGGTGGATGGTGGCCAGTATATGAAACAGCTCTCTGCGAGGCAGAGGGCACAAGGTAACACCCTGGATCTGCTGTGGGGATTTGTAATAGGACCTTCCTACCCCTAGTGCCAGCATGAGTCCCACCCTGCAGGCAACTCAAGTGTGCCTGTCAGTATATAGGGATAAAGCCACCAGTACTATCAGTTTCTTGGGGCAGCCTAAAGGATTTATGAGAGTACTTCTAGAAAAAGACCAGGGCTTTATGTTCCCCTGATCCTGGTTTTATCATTAAGGAGCATCCAGATTGCTCTTCAATTTCTTCAGGATTCAAGCTGGCTCTTTGCTATAGTCTGGATTTTTTCCATTTTGGCCACACTGTAGAAGCAGAGTGCCAGCAAAACAGCAGCAATGTCTTTTCCTACCCTTGTTCATTCTGAGTCAACACACTGCACAGGGTTGAATCAGATATAGGAAACCTGGGTCCTCTCACCTCTGCCGCTGGTGTGGACTTGGAGAGTCACCTTATGCACCCGAGGCAGTCTGCTGTCCCACTCAGCCTCTACTAGCACAACTAAAACAACTACACAAATAAAAGATCATCCTTGGGGAAATTCTGCTTCTCTGGACGAGGCATGCAAAGAAAGAATTGTTTGATACACTCCCATTCATTGTCCCCAGGGTAGCAGCAATTAATTTTTGTGCTGATTTGAGCATGCTTATCCATTCATTAATACCTTCTCTTTTGCTGGTCAGTAAATAATTGTGAGCCCAACTACTCCTAGAAAAAACCAAAGATATTCCAGGTATGTATCAGCTGAGTAACTGGGCTAAAATTGACCGGCTATTTTGGCGTGTTTGCAGACAGTTCCCTTTAACAGTCTGCTGTTTGTAATGTGCATCTGGTCTGGCACATTACGTGACACACTCTCTGCCCCTTGTTGTTTAACTGAGATGTTATAAACAGGGGAATAATCCAGATCCGACAGCGACAGGGACGGCCACGAAAAGTAGTATTTTATTTTGATCTTCCATCTCACAGCCACTTTAAGAACAGGTCCGACTCATTACCCCCGTTTTAGACAAGCAGAGGCATTCGAGCCTTACACAGGGTACACCACGCCCTGGACCCCCGCCGAGCCCCGCTCCCACGCGCGGAGCGCCGCCCCACGCCGCCGCGCCGGTCGGGAGAGAGGGAGGAGCAAGGCGGCCATCCCCGCAGTCCCGGGTGGGTTATGTGCCTGCTCATGCTGTGTTTATAACCCCTGAGTCACGCTGCGGGGCTTGCGGCGTTGCTCAACCGTGTGTTTATTCTGCTGCCTTTTAAAAAAGATCAATTATTTATTATTTTTAGTTTGTTGTTATTTATTTTATTATTTATTTATTGCCGCGCAATAAATCAATGTACAAACAAAAACACGCGACCCTGCGCAGCGGGGGGAGGCATCGCTTGTCGCCCTCCCCCCCCCCCCCCCCCCCCCCGCCC